ACAGATTTTCTAATAGATTTTTATTCGCGAATAAACTCGACTCGGTTTCTGCGATAAAATCTAATATTTTCTTTTGAGATTGCGATTGCTTAATAAATTATATATAATAATTAATGATTAATTAATCGATGTCTATAATTGACGTCGATACAGTTCCCGGTATCGTTATTATTTCCACATCCGATGTCGTTTCTTCGGTTTCTACTTTGGGTGGCGTCGTCGTAATCATCGTTGACGGTTTCATAGCGGTGGTCGTCGTGCTCGTCATGCTCGTCGTTGTCGTCGTCCGACTGCTGGGCATTGCTGGCATTCCAGGTTTCATCGTGGAGGTTGTTGCAGCCGTCGCTTTAGTAGCAGTGGTATTGCCCGTCGTTACGGTCGTAACATTGCTCGTCGTTTTTGTAGTAGCATTGGCCATCGTTTTCGTAGTGGCAGTGCTCGTCGTTACAGGAACCGTTGATATGCTAACGCAATCGTAGTTTAGTTGCCATATTCGTTTCTTCGCGTAGATATCCAGTCGAAGGCAAACCGTGATCGATCTTAAAGAAGAACGTTTAACGACCGTGCGCTCGATATTATCCAAATATCGAAAGCTTACCTAGAGAATTGATTCAGTTCCAAAACATTTATACAGGCGGTCGAGAAGAGACAGCCGGGTACATCGATGCAAAACTTCAATGGCCTGTAATCTGTAAAACGATGACATTAAGACCAGAAAAATTGTATTTTAAAAAACATAACGATACCACCGTGTCACCTGTAACTTTTCTAGATTTGATTACATCCGAATTCAACGTCACGTCAATTTTTACTCCGTTTCCCTGGTAGATAAAGTTGACGCACACTGTACAAAATGATAAAAAATTTCACTAATGTACTCGTTCGACGCGAACGATTAAAATAATTACCACCATATCGGGAAGAATAAACGTTACTAAATCAAATATCTATGAACTTACGATTTTTCTCAGCCTTAACGAATAAAATTGTAACAATCTGGCAACAAGAATACGCATAAGGCACCGAAGAGGTACAAGATGGCCGAATATTCGTCACCGTTTTGTAAGCCAAGAATCCTTTCGGAATTGGAAACCCTGCCGCACAATCAACGGATATGTAAACCCTATTTTTGATTTCAAAAAATTATGGGATCGATCACGAAACAAAAATGTACACAAGTAAACACCAACTTTCTTCTACGATAGCACCGGGCCAGCGAAAGGAGAAGTGCAACCAAAACGAAATTAGGGCGCTGCATATTCGAGAATTCATGCCGAGCGTATTCCAATGCACGTTTTATTATGGTGCACTCGCTACTCGATTACCGGTACAGGTTACATATCTCCTAATTTCAACGAGCACCACATATTGTTCCAGTAACAATATTGTCAGATTTGGCCTCGGGTCGGTGATTTCCCTATAGAATGTGCAGGATGCTGGTCGAGGTAGAACATACAAACTTTTTACCGCATCCGTTTATTCGTTTTATACGCTTTCTCTCTTATATGTAATAATTATTTATAATGATTGTTTTATCTGAAACGCATTAATTACATTATCTACGTCTAAACTACATTTCTTGATAAAGAATATAATGAATATCAAAAAAAAATTTCGTTTTTATAGTGCAGCATTCCTAAATCGATCGACAAAGACCTGTGCAAGTACGATCTAGTTATAACAAACGATAAATAATATAATTATCGCATTATTCTTTCCATACAAAAAGAATATAATAAAAAAACATTGTCATGCTGAGAATGGCACCGGTTGCGCATAATTTGAGCAATTAGGTTGTTCACCCAGGTTATAAACAGAACACTTGCGTTTTCTCACAAATCGAGTATATCGTCGTCGTCATCGTCGTCATCGTTATCGTCGTCGTCGTCGTCGTCGTCGTCGTCGTAATCGTAATCGTCCTCTTCCGCTCCGTCGTCGTCTGGTAAAAATTCTACTTGACCTATTCCTCCTCCATCCTCTGGCTTCACCAGAGCTAAACCGTTGGAACCGAATCTGAGGCAATCCAATCCAACCTGGAAACGAACACGTCCATAATGAACCGAGTAACGGGATACGTATCTTCCTATAGTTCGAAGAAATTAGACTCAAACAACTTACTTTGAATAACGTGGTTTCTCTGAATTTTCCCTCCATGTTTACGCACATGTGAACGTTCCTTCCTTGGAAATAAATGTTGTAGAACCTGATGCAAGCCTTCACGATCGGCAGTCGTGGCACCGGTACGCATATCGGGCGAGGATTTTTGCCTAAAAATTGTCTTTACGTTACTGTTGCGCTTCGACGCGACTTCTAACTTGTTCCGACGTCGTTCGTAGACCAAAAGAAACGCTCCGTCGTGTAGAGTAATTAAATGTTCTGTCACGTGTTTAGTTTTTTACATAAATTGTAAAATATTTGCACGATCTTATACGGCTTTTTAACTTTAAAAGAATATTGTTCAACGATGTTTCAGCACCGATAATACGATATTAAAGCATATTACCTTGTATAGCAAAGTTTGCACGGAATACAACCGTACCATGTAAGTTAGAACTGCGTAAACGTTAAACACAAAATGTCTTTAGGGTTGATGTTTCAAGTTCTTCTTCGAGACTGATTTTCTTGAAAATTACGCGTAAAAAGTTTCCTATCAGATTTATACGTCGTCGAGAAACTATCGGGAACATTCGCTCAAAGTTTGTCAAAACATACCGGAAACCGTTCTCGTGTACAGAACTCTGTCGTTCATCGAAACTTTTGCGGTGAAGCTGAACTCGTCGGCATCGTAAGACACGTTCACGCAAGCCTTTTGCTTCCAGGTGTTGTATAAAATCTTGGAGCAGCATCCGCAGAGACCACCGCCGCATTGACAAGGACCTTGCCTGGTCGCGGTGACCTGGCTACTCTGGTTCGTCGTCGTAGCATTGTCGGCTTGTTTCAGCGACCATGTTAATTCCGTTACGTTCTTCGAGTACTTCCTCGAAGATACATTTTTCACAGAATTCGCTGACCCCTCTTCTCGTTCGACGGTCCTCTTGCCAACACTTTCGGTAGAGCTTCGGACAATGAAAAGGACGAGAAAGAGCAAACGATAAATTCTCATTGTCCGATTGGGAAGTTAGTCGCTGCGAGAGGACATCTTCGATGAACGATCGAGACTCGACTGACCGGTTAACGGATCGTACATATCTGTACGAGCGACCTCGTTTTCTGGAGAAATTTAGGTTTGGCTGGAGTTGTTCGCCTATATTCGATCGTTTGGTCAATTTTTCTGGAAACCGGATCAAGGAAGAAGAAGTCGTAGAGACGGGTTTCGCCGGGAAATTGAAAGTATATTCACCAGGAGGTTGCGGTTCGAACCGATTTCTACGAGATACAGTCGAGATTAAACGGTTCATCGGCAATCTCGATGTTACGCTCGACGCTGCAAGATCGAATGCTGGATCGACTCGTACGGTGAGACGAGATTTCGGATACTCTACAAACACGGTTTAAGAATACGTTACCGAGGACAGTTTTTAAATCGAATAGTTCGTACATTATAAAAACGGTATCCTAAATACTAAATTTATCTTCGTATATGTATATACACATATATATATACACGCGTATCTTAACGTTATCTACGATACAACCGTTGCGCCAAGACTCCTGTTACGCTTACGAACGATATTTAACGCGACGTTCCTATCGGTTAATTAAATAATATAAATACAACAACGAATAACAATGAGTTACGTCGATCGCAATTTGAGTTGCCCGATCTGAGCTTCCTCTTCGGGACTCAACGTCGAAGTATAATTCGCGTAGACCTCCAGATCTTGCTGTTCGAACTCCACCTCGTCGTAGACTTCGGATTCATCTACTATCGTGTGCATTTCGAGCGTCGACTGGCTGGTGTCGTTCCCGATCTGCGTCCAAGAGATACCATCGATACCCACTTTCACGCAATCGAAGTGCAAGGTCAAGATCGGTGAGCCTACGATTCGAGTTTCCAAATCGATGCAAGCGTGTAGGTTTCTTCCTTCCGTGTGCAGATCGAAGAAACGAATGCAAAAGTTCACGAAAGGTAGATAAGGCACCGGGGCGCACAGCGGCGGCGGATTTTTAGCTGTAATAATGCGGGCGGAATTTTAAAAATTCTAAACAGTAAAGTAATTTTCGTAGTTTCAGTAGTTTTACGAAGCAAGCAAGCGTGCGTTGGTTAAAAATCATGGTTTTTAAAAGATCGAAGAATCATGCTATTTAAAATTCTAAACGAAATACGTTAGTATACGAAATACGCCCCTTGTTACCTTCTTCTTTGTTTCGTTGTCATTTTTCTTATACGATTTTCTCGTAACATCGAAACTACGGAAGATTATTTGTACTTGGTTAGCGCGTGGATCTCCGTGCAAATTTTCGGTCTCGCGAATCGTTTCGTGAACATCTTTAAAAACGACAAATTTCTTGCATCGACTAGAAATTGGCTCGCGGTAACATAGAATATCGCAAAACATAGAATAATCGCGCGATTAATTTTTGTCGATACGCGCGCCCACTCGCGTTTTACAACGTTATGCGCGTAAATGCGCGAAGATCCAGTTCGTTGGGACGTTTCGAACGTAACAAAGGACGTACGGAAGACGTTTATTCGAAAAAGTTTCCTGTTCACGACTATGTTCCAAGTTGCGAGTAACTTACCGGAAAAGGTATTGAAGTAGACCTCTCTGTCGTTCATGGTGAACGCCATGTTGACGGCAAACGCAGAGGGCTCGTAGGTGAATTTCGTGCATGCTCGACGATTGAAATTCAGCGAGGTCAAATTAATACCGGCGCAACAGGTGCATCGCGTGTTTTCGCAATGACAGGGCAGACCTCTGAACGAGACCTTGGTCGACGAAGGATCTCTGCCAGAATTTTCCAGTTCCGGCGCGAGACCGACCCCGGTGACCGGATCGTAATAAATGGCAGCGTATTTGGAAAGATCTGGCAAAGAAAAGCATTTACCGTTTAACGCTTCCGATGCGATCGATCGATCGATCGATTCGCGTTGTTTCGGCTCGACGAAATCGAATATTTACCTAGGCCGAAGCTCTTGTTTTTCAACGTAGCGGCGCGAGCGGTCCGCGTCGCGAGATACAATACGAGATACGATACGAGAACGCGCAACGTTTTAGCCCACATGATCCCTCCGAAGAGAAAGGTCCGATGCCGATCGACTCTGGTCGAAGACTGAAATTTGGCCGAGCCGCAATCTCCTTGGCAAGTGTGTCCCCAACTTCATTAATTATGCATAAACTTTCGATAGAAAGCAAGTCTGGAAGGATCGAAGGGACCGTGCGCGAAAGTGTAAACAATGTTTCTATATCGTTACCGATGTCTTTTCTGTAAGCACGCTCTTTGTAATATGCTCCGCGGTTGTGCCGTGACCGGTTAAACGAATAACAAATTACAGTAAATAACGCGCGGATCGTACAACCGATTCGTATTTGCACCAGTTGGCGCTAATCGTGTCATCGAATAGTATACATACTATACTTTCTTTGAAATTTTCCATATTTAATAGGAGCTACTTTAATTTGAATTTATCTTCTTCGAGCACGGTCTTCTTCTCTCTATTATGGAAATAATTATAATTACAAGAGCGAAATGATAAACTATGTAAAACTATACACTTTTATTAAATTCATTTAATTGGAGTTTCAATAAATTAATTAAATAAGTACATATAAAAAAATACGTGCATGTCTTAAATAATAAAATACGCATACTAAACGATCGATTCGATATGGCTAGAGTTGTGGACGATGTTCGCAACCGTCTGATCGTGTTCGTGTTCGATTCCCGTCTTTGTAACGATCTTTTCAACGTTCTCTCCGTACTTGTCGGGAATCTCATTTACCAAAAAAAAAGAAAAACAAAGGAAAAAGAACAAAGAAAGAATTCATCAGTCTCGAATATTTCTTAACCTAGCCAACGGTGCGACCCGTTTGCTCGACAAAGTTCCTCCATGACGAGAATCCTGTCGAATCGCCCGATCGATTGGATGTTGAATTATCGAATTACTGGCACGACATTTGTGAATTCAAAGCCTCACGACGTTGCTCTGCCGGCCGCTTCTCGAATGCCTACTCCTCGCCAAAAGTCCGCTGAGACCAAGCTCGTAGTCGTCGTCGTCTGCTTCGGAGGACTCGTGAGACTTCTTCACCTTCCTTTTCTTCGCGTCTTCCTTGTCATCGTAAACGAGCGCACTGATCACAGCGTCCTCCGCCTCCTCGTCGTCGTCGTCATCGTCTAGATCCTCCAGGTCCTCGGCTTTCTCGTCTTCGTCTTCTCCGTACTCTTGCTCGGATCCTTCCCCTTTCTCGTCTTCGTCGTCGTCTTCCTCCTCGCTATCTTTCTCATCGTCGTCAGCACCCAAGAGTTCTTCTTCTTCTTCGTCGTCGTCGTCGTCGTCGTCCAAGATATCGTCGTCGTCGTCGTCGTCGCCACCTTTCAACGGTTTCTTTTTCTTCTTCTTGTCGGTCTCGTTCTCGATCGCGTTGATACTGGTGCTAGCGAGACTAGGCTTTTTGTTCGCTTCCGGTACCACCGTCGCCTTCTTCGACGGAAATTTTCCGGGCTTCGTGTACGCTACCACTTTGTTCGACGGCTCTGTGACAATCTCTTCGGACAGGTTCACCGGTTCGGTAACGCTGAACTCGCCCGAGTCCTCTGCGACAGTGTCCTGCACCTGAACATTCTGGACCGGAATGTACAGGTTGTCCTCGCTGCTGTCTCCTGCGCTATCCCCAGCGGTTGGCGCTTGGTCAGCGCCCGAGGGTGCCGCGGGTGTAGGCTTTGTCAGAAGCGGGATCGTGAATTGAAGGAGAGGCGCGGCTGTGGTGACCTTCGGCTTCTTCGTTGTAGTTTCATCGTCGCCGGTGATGATGTCCAACAAAGCTCCGAATCCAAGAACATCGTCGTCGTCCTCGTCGTCTTCGTCCTCGGCCGACGAATTCGGTACAGAATTGGTCAGCGGAGAAACCTCCGCAGGGTCACCGGCATCGTTGTCTTCGTCGTCGTCGTCGTCGTCGTCCTCGTCGGAACCCAGGCCGAAGAAGTCGTCGTCGTCATCTTCGTCCGGCGTTTCTGTTTCCACCACCGGCAGCGGCTCTGCCGGGCGCAGTTTCAGGCCATCGGGACCAAATCTATAATTTCGATGAAATATTTTAGTTCCACCACTTTTTAACGGTATATTCTCTGTCTCTGCTAGTTCGAGGCTAATAATCTAAAATCGCCGTGTTTCTAGTCGAGTATTCGGATTCGCATTCTTCGGAAACGAGTAGATTGCGATCGTATCGGTGCAAGGCCCCTTTCTGCTCGTTCAGCGAAAAAAGAAGCGTTATCGTTTTTCAACAACCGTATCGTTTACTGGTCAAATCGATCGTTAAGACGAGTTAGAGTTTAGTTAATTTATAGTAATTTTATAATTCGTTTCGCTCGTCTTAACGAGATTCGATTCTCGACAAGTAACAAGATTAGAAAAACGGTTGCTACGATAAATCTTGCCTCCTCCTTCTTTCATTCGTCGTTGAACGAACTTGTCCGAACGTTGAGATACGTTGAAAAAAAAGGTTTCGCAGGGCCATTTATAAATGGCCAAGGTTCGGTTCGATTCACAATACCTTTGTCGGATTTGTGTAAAACTATTCGCGAACAAACGCGTCTCTGTCTCGTTTTTCTCTCAATTCCGTAAAAATGCGATCGATTACCTGAAACAGCTGACTCGTAGACTAGCTTCCAGTTCCGTCGACGACTGCAGCTCCAACCCGAGGCACGCCTTGAAGTGGTTCTTGGCTTCGCGTTGGATCGAGTAGATTCTGCCGCAGAATTTCGTGAATCCTCCAGGTAACGGGACGCACACGGGTCTCGGGCTCTTACCTGTAAATTAGGCCGGCGCCGTTGTTAATTGCTCGAATCTAACCTTTTTAGAAAACGCATTCCTTCGTGGGATCGTTTATTAATGTATGCGAAACTTTCACCTTGGCGCGCGCGTTCCATCCGTAACGGCCGGACGACGACACCTATGCGTTACGAATAACTTTGTTCCGACGCGACGCGGTGACACCGAACACGCCCGGTGCTTATACGTCGAGAAGAAATTTATTTTTTCGAGACCGCGCGGACCACCGACCGGTAAAAAAAAATAGGCTGTTCGCCTTTGCGCGCGAAGGATCGGTGAAAGTCGAAATGTGTTTCTCGAATCTGGAGGGGCAGTCGGAAGAACCGCTTAACGGTTAAGGCTATTTTCGGGCAATCGGTTCTTTTTATCGACACGCGGAGAACGGTTCTCGATATGTAACGAGAAAGGATCTGGAAGGAATTCTCGATATTTCGAAGCTGCGAGAGACGTCGATGTTTCCTAATTTTTTAGTTTAGTGCGAGCGAACGCGACCAGTAATTCTTTCTCATGTTTTATGATTTATTTTACAGCTACAGCGATTAGAACTTTGTCGTTCGTAATTTCCTATAGGAAAAACAAAATCGATGTACGATAAATATACGCGTATATCGCGCGTCGCTGTATTTTCTCCGATGATAAAACATATCGATAAGAGAATTCTAGATCGAAAGAAACGAATAACGTATGCGTATTCCATGAATTCTGTTTGAAATCTTCGTCACGATTTCGGCTCGTTGATACGAGGTAAACGATCGATGGATCGATTTCAACTAAAACAGTTGTATATTAAAGGATGAACTAAATGAACGTTGATTACCAGACCGTAGATTTTCAGATTAAATTAGATCGAACGAGTAGGTGAAATTTCAAACAGCGGAGAGATTTCATTTAAAAAGAAACAATTGAAAAATACTTGTGCATTATTTTCGACGCGCTAAGATTATTAAGATAATTAACGAAAATTCTACTCGGACCGTCTTCGTTTTCGTTGAAATCGACGAAGAAAAATGATATATCGCGCAAAGATTCGCGGTCTATCGCGATAGAGGAAACTTGAAAATATATATATATATATATTTACCATTTACGATGGTGCTGGTCAAAATGTTGTCACCGAAGCTAAGCTGCACCGCCAAATTGTCCCCTTGGAGATACTGCAAGGACGCGCATCCTAAAATCGAAGAATCCATTTCGTGCAATTAGTTGCTCGGTGAGCACAGTTCGGAAAGCAAGCATTGGCGCGTCGTGAACCATGATTCTAATACCTTCGATCGAATCACGGAACAATTTTACCTGGTCCCTGCAACTGCACCAACGGTATATGGAAGTCCCGGCAACAGTTGCATATGTTCTCGTTGCAAGTGCAATATCTGTTGACGTTATCGGTCGCTTGTTTCAACGACAGCGTCGATATACCAACGTTGCTCTGTTTCGAACCATCGTTCGCGATGGCTCGCTGCTCGGTTCGATTACGATCTATAAAAATAAAAAATAAAAAATCTCTCGGTATCGTATTTCTAATATATTTTATTTATAAATCTAAGCAACGTACGTTTACATTCTTTTACGTAAGAAAATATGAAAGTCGATCGCACGTTGCACGGATAATCGACGCTTTGAGCCACGAAGCGCGAAGAAACCTTCTACATCCTATACGGTATGTCATCCGCGGTGAGTTCCGATACGCTAACATAATTATTACCTTTGCTTCCCTTTCAGCGGAGAAATCGATCAAAACAAGTATGAAAAGTCGTATTACCGATAACTCTGCCGTAGGCGGCGAACGCGATCAACAACAGGATCAGCAACAGCTCGAAAACCACCGACAGCCGCATCTCGTTTTCTTCCCTCTGCAACGTAAGGATTAAGAATGAGCGATGAACGTCTCCCGTGACTGTTCCGTATGCGAGGACACGCGCGTCCATCGCTCCGATGGCAAGTTAGCCAACGTGGAGCGATTGTGCTATCAACGTTTCACGGTTTTCTTTATTTCGCGATTTCGGTGCGGCTCGAAGAAACGACGTTGCATCGGGACGCATCGATATTCTGTACGATGCCGGAGCAGCGTCCATACCAGTTGTCTGGTACGAACTACGCGCAGCCTCGACGAGACGTGCTCGCCGATTCTGACCGAGCTCCGACAGGAAATCGAACATGTATGTAATATCTATTCGAGAAAAGTAAATATTATTAGGGACGAAGAGTACTGCCTACGCGCAACCAGGCGATTACTCTATCGTCCAAATGTTCCCGTCTTCTTGCTAATTCGGATATCGCGAGTACTTAAGAAACGTTTGACCGAGAAAAGCGGCGGTGTTATAGAAGCTTTGCGTACATCTTCGAGACGAATCTTTTCATACGTTTCTTCGTCAACTCGCCTCGCGAGACGCAACCTCGAAGTTTTCGCAAGATTTCATTCGGGTCCAAAGCGGTTGTTCGAGGAAGAGGAACCCGAGATACTCGCGAATTGCTCGACAGGAAAACTAACGGAACCGCGAAGCGTGTCACACGGTACTACCGGATGCAGCGAAACGGTGTGAACAATACGATCACGTGTTACGCTCGTTAACGATAACGTATCGCGAAGGGTGAGACACGGTTACCTGTTCGCGTGGAGAGCAATCGTTTCGAGCAGAGAGAGAGAGAAAGAAAAAAATGAGAGAGAGAGAGAGAGAGAGAAACACGCGGGAGAAACGATCTCTACAGTAACCTCGGGTTTCGAGCTGAGAATTCACACCGGCTCGCACAAGGTCTAGAAGCTCTTTTCAGTCGGCGACCGGTTGACCTAAATCCCGGTCACGGTCAAAGACGAGTTGCGCACCGTTCAGCTGGTACTTTGGTGACTCGAATAAGGCAGCACGTTTGCGGACGCACATGCTTCCTATTGTCATCGTGCTCGTGATTACGAGGTTGGAACGGGGAACGGTACGCCACGGTACGTTTGTTCGATCTATGGTTGCGCCGGTAGCATCGACGAGAAAAACCTGGACTACGGGATCCAGAGAGCTGCCGACGAAAGATCGCTGGATGAACCGGAAAGTGTTTTAATTCGAGCGATTCGATTCGAAAGTAACTTTGAGTTCGAGATACCCGGGAACCGATGAAAAGATCGCGCGATCGATTCGAACGAAAGTGTCCGCGAAGAGAAGAGGAGACTGTCGAGGTGTCAGAGAGCAACGACGTAGGCTCACCTGTGCGTCGACGTACGAAATCCAAGGTAAAAATGATAGAAGCCGATCGATCCTTCGAAAAAAAACGTCTCTCCTCGTCGCACCCTTCCGCTCTTTTTTCCGACTCTTCGTCTTACGGAGGCCAATGTCTAACTGAAGTTGCCGCCCAACTCCCCCCAAAGGTTTCTTTAAAAGTCGGTCAAGCCACCACCACCTACCTCGCTCGACGTTCCGATTATTAAGCATTCTAATGCACTCTACGTAAATGAGACGACGATTCCCCACCAGCGGAGGTGATCCAGACTCCGAACGCGGAACGTCGTCGTTTCGATGACGAAAGTACCGAGAGGAAGTTTTCGTTGCCTCGACGCGAACCGGTGTGGCGGTACGTGTCGCGGTTCACGTCCGGATCAACCGGTGCCGAATGTCTCGGCAATGGCCCCCGATGAACGATTTACTCTCGAACGTCGCGTATACGACTCGCGCGATTCGTGACATCGAGATTTCGGGCTGCGACGAAAGGAGTATTCGTTATTTTGCCACATCGATTACACACGTTCGCGCGACGCGACTTCTGTGGTTTAGAAGCAAAGGAGTCCGTTGTCGGACGAGACGAACGAAGCTGAATTATCGACCAACCATGATGAGAGGATAAAGCATGGACGCGGCAAAAAGCGCGCGTACTCGAGGTTCCTGTTAACTCGACGTTCGCGTTCAGCTAGAAGTTTCGATGGACCGATTTTCTATTCGTACCACTTATGCTACCGCTCGCGAGTTTGCGATCGTTGTCGTTCAACGAGGTAGAAACTTCGACGTCGTTATCCGAAACATGTAATATTATAATTAATAGTATAAAATTATCGCATCATTTTTTCTTTTTTTTCGCTAAGCGACGCGTTGCAGCCTTTCGACCGAAGACGAAGATTTTGATACGCGAAAACCAATAATATTAATAATATATATATCGACGCGATAAACCGTCGTACAACGATACGGTATAATTGCTACGGATCTCCCTAGCAGTTGTTCGAACATTAGAGAAAACGCGCGTTACACGCAACTCGAACCCCGTTTCCTCCGAGCAGGCAACATTTTGATATCGGGTATGGGTAAAAGTTGATCGAAGCATACTCGTCGTGCCCGTACACCGTCGTATACCGCTGTTCCTCGTTTCGTCGATGTATCTTTAATTGCGAACAATAGCGTAGATTCGTGTACACGAGTGTTGCACACGTCCCAGCACACAAACCCCGATAGCCGTGAGTCCTAATCACCAGGTCCCCACTTTGAACCGCGCGCGCGCAATTTCTACCGCTATAAATTATAACGAAAGAAAGGTGTCCATCCGTATGCGCGGTGCATCCATAATGAACGAGACGGAAATTCTTTATTCATCGAACGCGCAGTTCGCTTTTACATGTTACAATTAACGCCGAGACGTTTCACCGACTTTTACACTGATCGTCGCTTTTGTTCCGTACATGTACAGCGATCGAACCGGGTTCTCGACGCTTGGACACGTCGTCGCGCGGTGCTCCCTTTTTCCCAAAATTCTGTCGAACGTTGCAATTTGCCAAATATTATACGTGTATCGATAATTGGTCGACCGAATTGGCGGAGACCGAAAGATATCGAAATCTCTCGATTTCTCAGACAGCTTTTCGTCGAAAGTCGTGGAAAACTGCGAGCTTTCTTTCGTTGCTCGCTCGGATGAAAAGCATTATTTAACGAATATAATATATACTAACGAATCGAAATTTTTTCAAACAATTTTTCAATCATCGTTACAGCGGTTCGGTACCAACGGTGGACTGGTTCGTTTGCCATCTAAAAATAATTCGAGTTGCTTGATCCGCCATCGCGGAAGATCTTCCGTAAAATTATTCGACGCGTCGTTGATAAAACGATCGACTCGCGACTAATCCGCGCGACAAGCGCGCGCGCGCGCGTGCGAGATAAAGATCTTTGCATTTCCGAGCGAAACGGTGTTTTGGTAATCGAGGAGGGGTCTTTCTCCGGTTAGTGGGTCGATGAAAGTAGTGGTCAGGAGTGGTTTGCCTTGGTCAACGCTCGTTCGTCGGCACGGCGATTCTACGATGGAACACGAACGTCGAAGGGCCGAATTACTTGGAATAACTATTGTCTCTCGGTTCTACCAATTTTTCTACGTATTTGCCGGCAACACGGTGTCTTCGGGAATCTAAAACCACCAATATAACCGGGGACCTGGGTAAATAACGAAGAAGCGGGTCAAGATTAAGGGAAACGCGTTTTTACCGAAGTAAACGAATCGTTTCTCTTTCAAAATTACTATTTCAACGCGCCTTCTTTATTTACGAAACGGCAAATAATCGTTTGCTGTTCCAGATACGGAAAAACGAGATCGTTTTCCAACGAGACGAGCTTCTTATTCTTTAGTGTTCGATGGAATTATTTTCGTCGAATCGATCGTCCGCGTTTTACGCATCCCTCGCCCCCATAGAAATAATGTGTCGAGAAGTTGTTTATCGTTGTTTGTTTATCGTCGTCGCGACGACGATACCGATCGTGTCGAAATAATTGGAACTCCGAAGTGTCCGAGCGTAACCCTAACCGATTTTCTTCGTCCAAGCCAGCGCACGCTCCTTCCCCTTTCGTTGGACCGTCCCCACCGTGTCAAGATCGACCTGGAAAAAAGCGAAGGTACTATTTGAACGCACGCTCGGTCGGATAACGCGATGAAAATATAATTGTCGGCTGGAGGGTTGGGGGAGGAGGACGGTGGAAACGAGGAAACAGTTTCATACTATCGGGGCGGTATCTAATCGTTGCCGAGCATCGATTTCCGGCGCGAATATTACTGTTATTACGCGCCATAAAAGCGAAGCGACGTTCCGCGCGCGGCACGGACGCCGATAGCGCCAAAAAAGAAGAACCTGGCCGACGCGACGCGAGTCCGACATCGGCGAGTTCCCTCGCGCGTACCGTTTTTCGAAACACCGGCCTCGCCGGGCACGCGTAAAGAAATTTTCACTTTTACTCGTCCCGAATATTCGCCGCCGATAACGAGAAACGCGCGGGATCGGTTGCGGCCGATGATGAAAATCGTCGAGGAAATCGAGGAAATCGAGAAAAAGAAAATGCTTTTCCCGCGGCGGGCCGTAAACGGTAGCCGTCGTTCGTACCGAAAAAGAACTCGGGCTCTTTTTTTTCAGCCTTGGCCCGAGACCACGGATGGGACGGTGGCGTAAGTCCTCTCTTGGTACCAGGTTGCCGAAGGAGGTCACCCGGTCACCCAGATGAGGTTCCTTGCCCGTTGTTACCTCCGCACCTCGGCCAATGGCGTGGCACCTCGGCGTCGCGGTGGCCAATCCTGTCGCCAGTTTTCGTGCCGACCGCCGACCGATCGCCGATCCGAGACCCGCGCCCGTCTTTGTGTCCAGATTTAAGCTTCTTCCTTGCTGGGCAGGATCTCCAGCCTCAGGAACGCGTGTATCCTTTTGACAGTTCTGTCGCGGCGACATCTGCGCACCGCGTTTCGTCGAATCGGCCGCCGCGAGGACCCCGACACACGTCCCCGAATAATTAATCACGCCGGAGGAATCACCGCGTCGAGGCGATCCCAGGAGGATAGACGCGATGGCTGCGAGGTTCGCGATCTCGGTGTTGCTGCTGCTGCTGACCACCGCTGTCGTCACGGTGTCTTCGGCTGGATTTCTCGGTGAGCAGACCAGTTGCGCAACCCGTGTAAACGTTTCGTGTGATTTTCGGTCTTCGATGGCCGGTTGCCGTCGGTTGCGTCCGGTGTCGAGACGAGACTCTTCCGGGTAAACGAACGCGTTCCCAGCATGCCGATCCTGCGATCTTTCGCGGACGGTATTACGATTCTCGTCGATCGCCGTTTCTGCCGCGATATACCCGGCAGATTTATCGATTAATTGCCAGGTTTTATTTCGAATTTATCGCGCGCTTCGTGGCTCGAATTCGGAGACGTCGATCGCGTCAACGTCCTGGTAAGGCGAGAAAGTACGCGGAGTCTTCGTGACGCGGATCGACGAGCTTGACACACTTCGCGCCGCGTCGCGTCCATGGTTATCGCGAATTTGAGAAAACGGTGTCAGGGGAGAAAACTTGGAAAACGTCGACGACGCGATCGATGGAAAGCACAACGATTTTTTTCATTGACTTTCGATCGACGACTTTCGTTTCGTTCCAATTTCTCTTTATAAGTTTCTCTCGAGAATCCGTTGTGTCTCGTTCCCTGGACAGAAACGCTGCTCTCGTGGGACCTGCCAGACGCTGTTGGAAGATCCACCACGGCGGAGTCCCAATGCCTCTGCCAGACCTCCAATTGTCTCTGCTGCGTCGACCTGAACCTGACGGCGACGATCGACCTGGGCGGGCCTGCCTGCATCAACGTCAAGCAGAAGGAGCAGAACGTTTCCTTGAACTTGAGCTACGGCGACAATCCTGTGCACAATGCCACCATTAAGATCGGTGAGGGACGGTCGATGTTTCGTTTCCCTAACGCACCCTTCTCTTTCGTGCTAACCTCGACGAAGAAACCGGAACTGCCAAACTTGTCGGAACGATGATTCCCGAGTGTTGTTCTTTTATTTGCATCGTAAAGGTATCGGTACTTGTCGGTAGAGTCTGGATCGTTTAAATCGATCGTGCGAAATAAAAAATATCTCTATTCCCGATGCAACGAACAGGAATCGAGTAAGAATCTATTTCCATTCTTAACGTTCTCGATAAGTTCAAAATAATCTGTCTCGGCGTTGTTCGCAGCATCTGGATTTACCGTTTTGTAACGTGCTTACTCGCATTTGTCGTAAACGCATCAAATCCGCGGTGTACTTATCGAAAACGATCGAATGGTTTGTTTAAATACTATGCTACGATACGATACGATACGATACAACAATTTTTTCGACTGTTTCCAAGTTCTAGCGTTCAAAGTTGACGTTAAACGAACTACGGCAACATTTCTAAATGTAAAATAGGTTAAATTAATCCTCGCTACATCGGACGTGGAAACTGTAAGCGAACGGTACGACACGGTCCGATCCGATCCACGTATCGCGCTGCTAAATTCAATTCGTCGAAGCAAACTTTGCTAAAGCGACCGATTCGAATGGTTCGCAGCCGATGCAGCCAACAAACCGACATGTATGAACTTGCTATCGGACCTGGCGCAAATATGCGCGAAATTCACGTCGATAAAACAAGCCGACGCTGGTTACGACGGGTGTCTGGTGATCGAACCCGCATTGTTGGGCACACCGCAAGCCACCTACCACATGGGATGCTTCAATTTCAATCGAGTGGTGCGACAAATCGAAGTCTCTGCGTGAGTACGAACTTGAAAACGTTACGCGATCCGTGCGTAATCCGTATTCGATTTCATACCTAACACCGCGATCACGGACAAATGTTCCTCTCCTTCCATTTATAGCAACACCGTTCTTACATCGTTCGTCGCTTTTTGTTTTTTCTTTTTTTTTTGTTTACTTTAGCACGAAATTCTAAACGTACGCTTTACCCTTCGAACTACGAGAGTCTAAAAACGATAAACGTTGTACAGAGATTTATCTAATTCCCGAACCACGTTGAAGCGAAATCGTGTTACAGAAGCATTTAAATTTAACCCTGTTATACGGGATTCAAGTAGGTAGTCGAGTTCAAAAATATGGAAAAGAAAATTTCATCGTAAAGATTTTAACGGATCACTACTGTCTACACCGTTCGCAAATTCTACGTTAGAAATCGTGAAATGGGCGCTTTGATCGATTCAATTTCTCTCGCAGCATCACGGTGACCACGGAGCCGGTTGAAAACGGAGAAGAGGAAGACTCTCTGAACACGGAGGAGTTTATAGCAGCGGTGACGGCCAGCGCCGAACAAGGTATAGCTCTGTTCTCCCAATGGCTAGGTCTGAACTTGAACCCAAAGTTGAACCTGACCGGCAAGAACGTCGACCAAGCGGCCAGCCAGCAGCGCGCCGACGCGCCCACCACATCCAGATCCGCTCGCACCAATTGGGACCAGGAGAAGAAGAACGACGAGCGGTTCAAACAGTTGCTCAGCGCCCAAGACAACGTGCTGAAAGGATCGGCGACGATCGGTCGATCGATCGGAGCCGAGACGACGTTCGTTTATTCGAAACCCTCCGAGCTGCTCGCCGAAAAGAGTTCCGGCGATAGGAATGTCCAAGACGTCGTCTCCGATCGCCTAGCCGTGGTTCCGAAAGAGTCCAGGCGAGGTGGCAGAGCGTACAACATCCACCAACACGTAAACGAGATCTGAGAACGCTCGTTTCTCCGGTTCGACGCGATCGATCGTGGTTGAAATTTCTAATGTTCGTAGAGTTTAGAGTACCGCGCGTACACTGTATTACCATGATGCGCTCTAGGAAGGTTTATTTATTATTTTTCTTTTTTCCGTATCTTTCTCCCTCCTATCGATTCCCGACTATTATTTATCGAACGATTCGACCGACCGGGAGAATCGCGAGACGCGACGCCGTTTGGACGCGCAGTCTTTTCACCCCGACATCGTCGGATCGGCCGCGACGATCGAAACGGTACGATGCGGGATTCGTCCAACGATAGATTATCGCGCGCGCGTTCGACAGCTTGAGAATCGTCGTTTACGCGTTTCAAGGAGGCTGAACGAGACGCGCGTGCTCTCGCATCGGCTCGTCGCACAGAATGATCTCTCGCGATCGCGATCGTCTCTTTTCTCGTCGATACGAAGTCTCTTTCGTTCGATGCGGACCGTCTCGTTCCGTTGACCGAGAAACGCTGCGGATCTTCTGTTCCGCGCAAAGAAAAAGCTGCTGCCGATTGGGAAGGATACGGGCAATGCGTTCCATAGGTCGGGCGACCCGCGGCTCCATTATACGATCTATTTATTTGCGTTCGAGCCCGCATAGCAAGTAGAAAATACAGTAACATTATCGAGTGGTTCGTGCGCTCGCCAGCGAAACACTGCGCGCGTGAACGTTGTCGATGGAGTCTCCGGACTGTTCGTTTTCTGGGAGGTATGTATAATTTGCCGCGCGCATACAAAAGAATTGTATCGTGATATCGTAGATCGTTCGGTGTCTCCGATCGGACAGATATCGACTCGCTGGTCGAACGATCGATCCGGATCCCCCGGTCGAATCGGCGCAAACGGAGCAAATTAAGTTCCTTCCGATCAAAAACCGTATCAAAAACCGTGGACCAATTGTACGAGAAAAGAAAGTTTTACAGAGGAATCTTTGTAATCGCCAATCATTGTAACATCGTCGTAACGTGGAAGATGAATCAATAAAGCCAAAAAGACAACAGTTCGATCCCCTTCGTTCGTCCGGTCCCCTCCATCTCTCTCTCTCTCTCTCTCTCTCGCTCTCTCTCTCTCACCCCCTCTCTTTCTCTCTTTCGACGAATCGTGGTTGTTCTTGCGTCGATCGACGCGCGTTCTCACCCTGGAGTGATTAATTCTAACTTAATTATCGTCGCTTCGATCCATGGAAGACAAAGAAAGTTGCTGCAAACGCGTTCTTCGTCCGCGATGCCGACTCCTCGTTGGAGGATGGAAGGATAAAGAAACGTCGCGAGCGTGATTCGGCGCTCGGAAACAAAAAGGAAAACGTGTCTCGTTGTTAGAATTAATTTCTCCGCTCAGGTTGCGGAAACACGACACCTTAAGTCTAATTTAACGATTAGTCGCTTGTTACGTTGGCTGCTTCGATATCTTTAAAAGTTGATATAAGAAATATATAATTATGTGTATATATATATGTATATCTCACCACATATGTACGCATACGTGTATATATACTATATATGTATATATAGATTTTCTCGTTTTCTTTCCTCTGATAATATCGCTATAAAATAAAGAAAAAAGGATCGAGTGGATTGAAGACTTTATCTAGAAATGAAATATTACACATGGACTAGATACTAATAACATTTCTCGCCTTAAATTAAACGCGTCTCGCTGGTTCCGTCAAAATATATAGTTCTATAGATATGCACTGTTTCATCGTCTTTCTCATCCTGTCGCAATCGTCTCGTAGTAAAAATATTTTTTGGACTTTATCTTTGGGCGATCATCGTTAAATTCTATGCGGTAATTAAAAAATAATTCGTTTCTCACTCGCGGCAACGCGGAAAACTTCGGCCGATCACGTTGCACGCCGCCCCCCGTTTCGATCAGGCCGTTGCAGAGCTTCGTCGATTCGCCGCGATCGACCATCCGGATATACGATATACATGTGTAGTAGTTTGATAACTCGCTCGCTTGCGCGGTTCCTTTCGTTCGTTCGATCCTTGTTTTACAAAAATAAATCTGTTCGGTCGCCGAGCCACGGGAGAGGTGCTCCCCGATCGTTTCTCGTCCGCGTACGTTTACATTTCGATTCGACGTCGCGAATCATTTATTAAAATATAGATCGTTCTCTCGTGGAGCAGTCTAGAAAATTCGATCGTCGTCTCGAAAAATACATCTTTCGTTAAAATTCGATACACGAGAAAGGGAGTATACGAAATTCGGATCCTTGGAGCAATCCGTTTACGCTAATATACACGGTGGCTTCGAATATTACCGGAGAAAACGATTAGGAGTTATCGATAAATACAGCGGTACATCGATTACGAATACACATACCAGATTATAGGATTACATCGAATTTTGATCCGTTCGCAGCTGCTCGAAACGCTCGCCTCGTTTCGCTCTTATCGTTCGAACATTGAAATCGCCCCGATATGAGAGCAATGGAGAAAAACTTCGGTGAAATCGAAGCATCGAGCCGTCGCGATCGATTTAGCTGTATCGAGACGGACGGATTCGAAACGCTCGCCGCAACGATAACGATATTTTACTCGTCTATCAACGAATTTTGAACATCGAATCGATCGGATTACGATTACGCTATAGGCGATCGCGTAACGCATTGGCAGCTCGCATCGGAGCAGCCTCGATCGGCAATTTCTCCGACACCGTCGAAACGAGAGCGCGGTGCTCGACAAACGCGAATATCGTGGTCGTAACGGAAACCTCTTCTGGACATTCTCTTGAAACATTCGAAAACGAACAACGCGTAAGAACGATACGATTCTGAACTGGAAACATCGCCGCCGTTCTCTATCGTAATCGAAAACAACCAGTGTCGAAGCAAACTCGTCGCGGCGCAATGCCAACGCGGTCCCGCTCTTATTATTGCCAGCAATAATAAACGATATTGCTCGCAGGTGGATAGCATCCGCGGAGCACATGCCATCGCGCACTCGCTAGAGCCGAGAGTTTGCCTTGCCGCCGCTTCTTCGCTGCAGAATCGCGTAGCACGCCTTCGCGCGGAATGTGGGAGCAAACGATCCGTCGTTCACTGGACTTGTTGACGAGGCGCCGGAGGAGCTACAGGTGGTAGGGTCAAGGAGTCCCTTTTCTTTTTGTTCACTCGTCGCCCAACGTGCAGAACCACGTCGCCAGCTTTCACGGACTTGAACTCGGCGATTGCTTCGGCGTGCGTCATCCCGTGAAGAGGTTTCGAATTTATCGATAAAATTTCGTCCCCTGGAACAATGCGCGCCAATCGTAGTTTATCTTTTTGAAAGTGAACGTCGCAACGGAGCCGGCCGTACCTTCTTTCACAGTGCCAAGATCGGCAGCCTGCCCGTTAGGGAAGACCGTCTTCACGTAAATCCCCATGGTACCTCGGGGACTATCGGTACCGCCGACGATACTAAAACCGAGTCCTTTGTGCCCAGGACCCTTATAGAATCTGGCAGTCAGTATCGTGAATGACGCGCCACCCTTGCCCGGCCTCGGCAGGGTGCAGAATCTCGACTCTTCGCCCTCGCCAGCTTCGTCGATGTCTTCGAGTTCCGAGTCGGTATTCAGGCCTTCGTCCGTGTCTTGCGTACCCTGCAAACAAACGTATCGAGGATTCGATAATCGATCGTCGCGAACCAAATCTTTCGTGTTTCGTGTTTATAAATATGCACGCTAGATATTTACTACTTTTCTTTCGAACTTGCAGAGAGAAAGAGAGAGAGAGAGAGAGAGAGAGAGAGAGAGAGAGACAGAGTTTCATTTTTCAATACATCTTCTCATATAATCAGAGGAATTCCCATCACCGACTACTCTATAAAACATTATCCCATAGATTAGTTCGTTATTATAGTTTATTTGGACGATCGAACGTTGGGTTCGGTACGTTATCTTGCAAATTTGAAAAGCGAATGCGCTGAACATTCTTCCGGGCTGACGCGCGCGTCCAGATTCAAATCGACCGACTTACTTGCCAAGTTTTCAAACCAGAACCGGAGGAACTAGGAATGTTGGCGACGCTTCTGCTGTTCAATCTCCTCGTAGTTTTTTTCCCAGGGCTCTTCTCGGCGCCCAAACTAGACGGTCCGTCCTCTTTGCTCGCACCGCCGGATCCAGATCCGCTCGAGTAGTTGTTCACCTGTCCGCCGACTTTGAAGTCCGTCACCCTCTTTCTGGGAGCGATCCTCGGTATATGAATCTCGTCGAACGCCGGCTCGGACCGATTCCGACCCTTCCCATTCTTCTGGAAGTGGACATTTTCGTAAGAATGATGATCCCTCGTTTCGGAGTTGCTCCTCGCCAAATGTCTGTCCGATTGCGGGCTGGTGACCGCCGACGTCACCTCCGACCTGTGACCTCGTTGGTAGCGTACGTTCTCGTAGGAATGATCGTGATTTCTGACGGCGTCGCGGTTCTCGGAGTTGCTGCGCTGCAATATTCCCCTAGACCTGGGAAAACAACCGGGCGACGAGCTGCCGGCGTACACCACGTTCTCGTAGATGTCCTTGCGGTTGCGATCGTGACTGTGGACAGGCGAGTCGTAGCTGCTGCTGTTCTGCGAGTACGCGAACGTCTTGTCGCTGCTGGTCAAAGGGCTGTTGCAGTTCGGAGAATTCGGCGCGCTGCCCTCCGCCAGGGTCTCCAGATTGTCGTGGAACGGGTACGGAGGTAAAGACGTCGGCTCGCTGGAATCGTAATCGCCGTCGAAGTTCTGGCTGGACGACGAGGTCAGCGGGCTGGGTACGTAGAAGTTGGACGCGTTGTTGTCCTTCTGCGAGAACACCTCGGTCACGCTCAAAGCCTTTCTCTTCCTGATCCCGGCGTTTATCTTGCTGAACTTGCTCCGGAGGACGTTCTGAATGTCCGCTATTCCCTTAGTGGTGCCTGGAAAATTGGTCGAAGTTCGACGACCCGGATTATCTCAACTTCCGCCCGTGTTTCGTCGTCGGTGATCCGAGAGTCTTACCTGGCAGCCTCAAAGAGCTAGTCTGTAGCAGCTTTTTCGGCGAATTGCCATCTTGAAGGCTCTTCGCAGCCGGCGAAGATTCTCTGCTGGCCGGACTGGATCTTACCGCTTGGATAACCCCCTGGGTCGTTCCGCCTTGTATCAGTGCCTCTTGTGGCTCGGACGTCTCCTGCACGGAACACCTCCTCCTCAGCTTCCTCCATCGCTGACTGATGCTTTTGTTCCATAGGTTCAGGTCTGCGGGACACGGGCAAAAAAATTCCGGATGAGTAACCGATCTCAGGATATCCTATCTATTCCAACGCGTTCGAAAGGGAAAAAGAGGAAAGTATCGCCGCTTTCGATCATCGGGCTAACGTTAAACGATAGGAAGCGCTTATCTAATCGCTCCGAGTGTTGTTATTTACCGAAGATAGATAGATAGATGGAGAGAGAGAGAGAGAGAGAGAGAGAGAGAGAGGCCTCGAACAAAAGGAGAAGGAGAGAAAGACACGCGGATGCTTCGTTCAACAACAACGACGCAATCGAGCAGGTAAATCGTTCGGAGACGCGTCAACCGATCGATGCGATCTTTGGAAACGATACCGCGTCATTGAACTTTTAAAGATATTCGAAAAAAGTTTTGTCGGTTGATTACAATTCAATATGGTCTCCATGTTGTTGTTCAGAGATCCACGTGGTCGCGATTAAATCCAACCAGTCCCGCCGGTCGTCGAAGGGTCGCGCGGCCCCTCCGCTTCCTCTACCTCTTCCTTCTCCTAGGGTGGCTCCGGTGACCTTGCAGCCGGCACGCTCATAACCAACTCGACGATCCCGTTTTTCCCGGTGTCGGTGGAAAGTCAGCCTCATAAATTATTGATGAACGCCGATGACGAACGCGGTCGCGGGGTCACTGCGTTTACACTGGACGTTAATTCGGTTGATCGTAATTGCAACTGCGCGTCGCATCTTCCGTGTCGCTGGCAGAACCGTTGCTGGACGACGCATGGCCGATGAACGTGTCACGGAAGAGACGGGAAAGACGACGAAGACGACAAAGACGACGGCGATGGCGACTGCGATGGCGACGGCGAGAACGAGGGAGCCGAAAAACCGGGCGTCAGCTTGTCGTTGCCCTCGCTGATTGTTACGGACACACTGGGGCGTCGGTGGCGGCTGCACTCGCCATTATCCATGGTTACAGTCATCTTGCAAAATGCACTTTCACTTCTCGACGTATCTCCGGATGCGCCCGGCTTCGCGAGGCCTTTTTCGTTCCGCCGCGACCGCCGGACGTTGCGCTCTTTCCTTCGATCGTAAACGTTCGTCGAACCGTTCTTTCGATTCCTTCCTCTATCTATCGGTTCCTAGATCGTCGCCTTATCGGCGAGAAAACGATGTTTCTTTCTTCGAATCCTCTCGTTCGAGGGTTTGAAATTTCAAGGCTCGCGGAAGACTGCGCGTCCGACGATGGGTCCTCTCTCTCTCTCTCTCTCTTTCGCGGTATCGCGTTTCATCCCCGGTCGGTTCGGCAAATCGAAAAGCCGAACCCCGTTCAATGGAACCGAAAGCCACGGTAAACGCTGAACGCTCTTCCCGGCTCGGTGGGCTGGCTCGAATCGCTGTTCATTATCGGTTTCATTGTTCCGGAATAACGACCAGCCCGACTCGAGCGAGACTGATATTTCGAGGCGGAAACAGCCCGTACGCCGCCGTGGCGTTAATTAAAATTTGCCAGCATCGGGTATTTTGCCTCGAGCAGGTCAACCGTAATAGCGTCAAGGGCGACTCCGCGTTCCGCGCCGTTTGGATCGACTCGCGATCCTCCGATCTTCGCTCTATCGACGAGATTCGATTTATTCTTTCGCGAACGTCCTGCGACGCCGCAGAGGCGTCTCACAACATGAACTTTGCAAGCTTGTTGTATTCGCCCGGATGCACGCGCATTTGCAACTCGAATCGGAGCATCTCCGCGTAGAAGTAAACGTATCCGATAACGTACGCCAGCATTATCGAGGTTGTCGCCGAGATAACAGTTTTCGTCGATCGACGCGGACGATGAGAAAAGAAAAAAAAGAAAAAAAAGAAAAAAAGGAAAAGAAGAAAAGAAAACGAGAAAATAGCGACACAACGAACGAAATATCGGAAAAAAAGATTCGTAAAATTCTGTCGCGCGACGGCCGAACGGGATTTCGGAAACCAGGGGAGTCCACACTGTACGCGGTCCCGACATGAACTGAAAGACTGGAGGTTTACGGTTGGCCGTGTGCGTAAGGCGTTACGTGCGTGTGCGTAACAGAGGCTACACACGCGTGCAGTTCCGTACCTGTGCATACAGGGTGACGCGCGAGAAACCGTTCGACGGTCCCCATCCCTCGTACACTTTTCGTGATACGAATTCCTCGCATAACTACCGAATGACACGCAAGGAATTCCATTTCTCGCGATATCCTTTATGTTCTGTCGCCGGCAGCCCGTGTCCGCGCATAGTTTACATAGTTTACGGAGTCGCCTCGAACAATCGCCGACGACGATAATCGTCTAAATTTTTATTCCTCGCTGCGAACTAACTCGTCGAGGCTGACAATTTTCTGCAAATTACTAGAGGATTGAAAATATACTTTACTTTTTTTTTTAAATATATCGGATATCGCCGTGCTACCTAACGGTAGAGAACGCGTTTTTAGAAATACGTTCTATGCGGAGCCAACGAACGATTTTCCCATTGAAACGGCACTCGAACGGAAACCGTTTCGTTTTACTTCGTATCCAAAGTATTCTCGTTCCACTTTGCCCGCATATCGAGTCAATTTCTACCACGGGACCCAATTGGTCGATTTAAAGGAAAACCGGGCCCCGACAATTCATTTTTTACTTCCCGGTTCACCGTGTATGTCACCGTCGTAGACCGATTGTGTACCGATTGTGGGAACCCTTCGCCGCGTGTTGGTGAACGTGCTCTTTCCCTCCCATTCTCTCTCTCTCTCTCTCTCTCTCTCTCTCTCTCTCTCTCTCTCTCTCTTCCACTATTTCACTTACATGCGTACACAAAGGTATCGACGCGGGCGGGTGTGTGCGCCTATTAGTGTGCATCACGGCTGCGTGCACACCCTACATACGATTCTACTCGTGCGCCTCATGGTCAGGGCAGGCTGCATTATTTTCTGCAATAATGCGAACGAGTGTTCTTTGTGCGAGCTCCGCACGAAGGTGGACACAAGATTTTCGAGCCACGCTGCCAACCGCGTAGCCAGAGGGAGAGAGAAGTAAGAACAACGACGGAGAGTTCGATAATCCGCCCCGTGTTGCGAATCGAGTGCCCCGGCACTCGATCCTTCGCGTATCGTTTTCGTAACGGTACCCCCGATTTTCCATAATTTGCACGAGCCCGGTTCTAGATCGGGATCCCGGATCGATCCTGGGAACACGATGCAACGAGACTCGTATCCTCCGATCCATGGGAACATATGGAACCCCACCCTCTGCGTTTGACTGTAAACGATCGCCCCTTTTGTTCTTCTCGGACAGAGAGGAAGCAAATCCTGCAGGTTTGTTCTCTTTTTTTCTGGATTATTTCTTATCGACCCGACAATGGCAAAGCATCGGACCATTTTGATATTTAAATTGTACGACGATCGACGTATTGAAACTTCCAAACGGAAAATTCGGATCGAAACGCGGTTCGGTAAAACTAGTGGCCTCCGTTCGTTCGAGCCTGTGCGAGCGCACAATGTAACCCTTTGTTCGGGCAAAGAGAAACTAAACCCGATACGCATATTTTCTTTACGGCTATTTTCAGTTTGTTCGGAGAACACTCGAATTTCCACGTGTCCGCGAAAATAAACTTGCAAGATATAAGAGTAACCATTATGGAACGCTTTTCAGGAGGTATAAGATTATCATTGTTTCGATTGTAATTACAAAATGTTATCGTCGAATATTTATACCGCTGCTGTTCGATAAACCGATGTTTTTAGATCTATGTACCTATTCTCGATGTACCTATTATGGAACACTGTTTCCGTACCATGTCCCCGTGTTCCATACACGAACACGCATGTTTTTTTTACAGCCGATTGCCATACACGACGGTACTCGCGCGAGTGAATTTATAAAGAACAACGTTGAAAAATATGAATAGAATTTTTACATTCGCTCTCTCGTATGCTCNTTCCACTATTTCACTTACATGCGTACACAAAGGTATCGACGCGGGCGGGTGTGTGCGCCTATTAGTGTGCATCACGGCTGCGTGCACACCCTACATACGATTCTACTCGTGCGCCTCATGGTCAGGGCAGGCTGCATTATTTTCTGCAATAATGCGAACGAGTGTTCTTTGTGCGAGCTCCGCACGAAGGTGGACACAAGATTTTCGAGCCACGCTGCCAACCGCGTAGCCAGAGGGAGAGAGAAGTAAGAACAACGACGGAGAGTTCGATAATCCGCCCCGTGTTGCGAATCGAGTGCCCCGGCACTCGATCCTTCGCGTATCGTTTTCGTAACGGTACCCCCGATTTTCCATAATTTGCACGAGCCCGGTTCTAGATCGGGATCCCGGATCGATCCTGGGAACACGATGCAACGAGACTCGTATCCTCCGATCCATGGGAACATATGGAACCCCACCCTCTGCGTTTGACTGTAAACGATCGCCCCTTTTGTTCTTCTCGGACAGAGAGGAAGCAAATCCTGCAGGTTTGTTCTCTTTTTTTCTGGATTATTTCTTATCGACCCGACAATGGCAAAGCATCGGACCATTTTGATATTTAAATTGTACGACGATCGACGTATTGAAACTTCCAAACGGAAAATTCGGATCGAAACGCGGTTCGGTAAAACTAGTGGCCTCCGTTCGTTCGAGCCTGTGCGAGCGCACAATGTAACCCTTTGTTCGGGCAAAGAGAAACTAAACCCGATACGCATATTTTCTTTACGGCTATTTTCAGTTTGTTCGGAGAACACTCGAATTTCCACGTGTCCGCGAAAATAAACTTGCAAGATATAAGAGTAACCATTATGGAACGCTTTTCAGGAGGTATAAGATTATCATTGTTTCGATTGTAATTACAAAATGTTATCGTCGAATATTTATACCGCTGCTGTTCGATAAACCGATGTTTTTAGATCTATGTACCTATTCTCGATGTACCTATTATGGAACACTGTTTCCGTACCATGTCCCCGTGTTCCATACACGAACACGCATGTTTTTTTTACAGCCGATTGCCATACACGACGGTACTCGCGCGAGTGAATTTATAAAGAACAACGTTGAAAAATATGAATAGAATTTTTACATTCGCTCTCTCGTATGCTCTGTCTATTTTCGATCACTGCTCTATCGTTGCTACCGTTTCGAAAGCGTTCGCGATTCGCGATAGAATCGTCGATTCTACAAATAGCCTTATTTTACCCTACGGATAATTAATACGTATATTTAATCGTCGATCGCTCGTGCGCGCAAACCCTTCGCGCACGGACCGTATAAAGCGTCCGTATAAAATTTGGACGGAAAGGATCGATTCGTGTGTTCCGAAGATCGGCAACCCTCGGTGCCGGTTTCTTAACCGGCCGACGCGATTTATAATTTAACGCGCGGCCGACGAGCGTTACCTTTTAAAGCGTTTTTCCCAGACAGCAAAAATGCAACAGCGGCGGCTAGTGAACGTAGATTTTTCAAGGTTTCGGTTATTCGCGGGTTTACAGTCGGCGGACAGGGAACGTCGATGAATTCCACCCATCGTTGCTGCTCGACCTACATCCCATTAAGACCTTTCGACCCGCGTCGCGCGTGCGCCGAACGCGCGGCATCCACGCAGGATATATCCGAATCTGGTAGTCCTCGATACCCTGTCCGACAAATTTGTATTTTTTCCTGTGTTTTAAACAACCGATCGCGCATGCCCGTGGGATCGTTTCAAGCCAGAAACGATCCAAACGATCGAAAACAAGTTTTCGAAGGTAAAAGCTAGAGAAGCTTCGATCGGAGAGCGATTTCGCGTTCGGATTCGCGTCGGACTCGTCAAAATGTACGATCGCGCGCGCCGGTCGGAACGTGGAAAAAAAAGTTGCAATTTGTTAGACCGCGTTATCGATGATCTCGTACCCGCGATCGAAATGACGCGTACGCAGCAACGCGGTCCGGCATGCAGAATCAGCGAGGCGCGGCGTTTACGCGATAAACAAGACGGTTTACGTAACGAGCGTAGACGGTTTTTATATTCTTCTCCCGAGGAGAAAAGAACGATCGCTTTTGGCACCGCGTTGGCGCGTCCTGTGCGATTTGGTCGATTTTTGTATCGTTAACTTCAAACATCGTTGGCATTTGCATCCACGGGTGTTCGCGAGCGATCGACTGCGATAAGAGAGCTGGTCTTTCGTAAACACGCATAATTTTACTTCCCACGTTGACATTTTACAATGATCTCTCCGATTAAAACATAGAGGTTACGCGCAGGATTGAATTTCATCGGATCTTTCGATTTTCAAATCGTTCCTGCCGCAATTGCGGTGTTTTCGGTCTATTCGGTCTATTAAAATTACATCGGCGACGCGACGTCCTAATGGAAAGTATAATGGCATTCTAAATAGCGCTCGCGCGATGAACCGTGGATCAAATCCTTACGGTTCGGTTTCTAATTAGAAACACGTGGAAGCACGGAATTCATTGGACGTTCTTAAAATGCGCGCGAGTGACGCGATCGTTGCGCGACGATCGTTTACAAAATGAAAAACGGAGCAGATCGGGCCGAGCTGCGAGAAACGAGAACGCGCGCGACACAGAGCGGTTGTACACCTTTTAACGCGTCTATGGTATCGGGGCCAGTCCGATTAGAGCAGTCGGAGTACTCTAAACTATTGTTCACAGCGACCGGAGAACCAGGGAAATTTGTTCGCGAATAATTAACGATTACGAGAACGTCCAAGTTTCGTTTCATAATTCGCAACCGCGACGCAGAAACGTAACGATTAAACGATACGGTTGGCTCCGAAACGATCGACCGGAAGACGTTAACCAACGTCGACCGACCGGTGTGAATCCGTCGATCGCGAACACACCTACCGCGTTCAGAGGGTTCGAGAGACGCGAACACGCGACGCAGCATTTAGCAACCGCACGTGCTCCGCGACTATTTTTGCATCGCGATGCCCGATGATAATGGACTTTCCCCCATAAATACTCCCACGGCGAGTAGCGCGAACCCATGGAAAACCGGCGCTGCTTCTAGACGCCGATCGTCGACGATAGAAACGATTTAAAGACACGTACCACGCGGCATACGCACACGTGCGATCTAAAGGGGAGGGTGGCGCTGATGCGTTGGTAGGTACGAATACGTACGAACGCGCATGAATACGTAGGAGGGAATACAAGAGCGTTTCGGTGACTAACCGACACGCTGTGCGCGTGAGGTCAAGCCGGGAGAATGTTTCTTCTATCGTTCGTTGTGTCTCGACGCGATCCGGCACTGTCCTTCGTCGTCGTCCCGACGCCATCAACGTTCAGCGAGCTCGATCGATCTAGTCGGATAACCGGTTCCAACGTTAATTCACGCGATGCGTCGGCCTGCTTCCGTTCGACGGCGTGTCCGCGGATGACAGCTGCGAGAGTTCGGTGTTCGCGGAGATATCAATTTCATTGGTTCGATAACGTTGATCGCGGATCGTGAACACGAGCATGCAATTGAGGTGCCACATATTTTGGTTATTCCCTTGCATCGCGTAGATAACAGAACCGAGAGACGCGTATCGTAACGTAGTTCGGAGGGACGTTGTTGAAAATTGTACGAAAGCGCGGTCAACGATCCGTCGCAGTTAAAAGTCCTGGAATTGTACGCGTTCCTCGGTTGCAACGGTTGCAACGGTTGCATTTTACCGCAACGTTACAAGATATGGTATCGACCGTCGGCGCGTTACGAGTATCGCAACAAAATTATCGGCATCTAGAAAATGGATCGGCGCGAGTCGTCGACCCGGAAAGGAGCCGTTGCTTCGGATGCGGCATGTTATGGAGCACGCGCGAGATCGATCTCGTTCGCGCGAATCGAGCGCGCCCGTAAATCTATTCGACCGTTTTCCCGATGCGACGTGGTACGGCGACGATCGGATTCCGTAAAACAGCGAGCCGAATGACGCGGAACGACGCGGAATAGCGCGGACTGGTCTGCAGCGGCGCGGCGGGTGCATTCTTGTTGCACGCGTCGACGCGAAGCGAAGCCGAAGACGTTTGTTCGAAGAAGCGGACATGCCGAGCGAAGCGAGGAGGTTGGAGAGCAGGAAAGTCGGAGGATAGGAAAATGCGAGAGAGCGGGACACGGAGGGAACGAGGGGAAAAGAAGGGGCCCGTAGATACGCGTGTACAGTCGCGGTTGGGAACGCGTAGACTGCTGCCCACGAGGAATGCGTAAACGGTAGAACCGTTTTGTAAGCGGCGAGAGAGAAAATGCGCCTGCCGACCGAACGTGTTCGGGAGACACCGATGAAAAACTCCGGGTTCCTCGGCGCCGACCGGTTAAACGATTTCGACAAAAACCGCGAATAACGCGCGCGCGCGCCTCGTCTACACGATTCTCTTCGTTGTCCCGCTCTTCTCTCGTTTCCACGCCCGGTTTTTAATTATTCCTCGTTGTCCTCCCGGACTTCTTTCCGCCGGCTGCCGACTCGTTTCGCAATTTGCGCAGCCCTTGGCGTTTATCGCGGGACGTCGCGTCTGAAATTACCAGGGGGCGTTCCGACGACTTCCGGTTCCATTCGGAGCGCGGCTGGTGCTGTTGCTGCTGCTGCTGCCTTTGGAACGCGACTAACTCGCGGATCGCAGCCGCTTTTTTTCGCGTTTCCTGGAAGGCCAACGACGCTCGGTCCGCTGCGTCCCCGGTGCATCGGCTTCGTCGTTGATAATAGTATCGTGCCACCGCGTCTCCTCGAAACTTATCCAAGCTCGTTGCGTTTCGCGCGTTTGCAGCGCGCGGAGGGTCTTACGCGTTGCCGTTCGATACAATTATCTATGGAAACGCCTCGACTATATATAATACAACGACAAAGTTCGAATTATGCTATACCGTCTCCGTATACATACAAGTCCTTTCTCGAGATTCTCGATGAATCGAGGACGATGGAAAAAACGTGTTACAGACGCGTTGTGCGAGCGACGCGCAGTCTCCGCATCGATGTCACCCGTGGCAGCCGCCAGTTTTGTCGCTGGTGCGAACAGTACGGAACGTGTTCGCGGAATAATCGGCTAACTGTATGCAGACAATGGCGGAGGCCATTCGGTACGCATCGTTGACTCCAATTATGCAAGGAGTTCTCAACTTGGCGCCGCTGCGCGCCCGGTTACACGACCGCGTTTGCGCGTAATCGGCCTATGCCCTCTGCGCGCGGCCTCGCCTCGGGGGGACCTTTAATTCGACGCATCGACCTCGCGAGACCTCGCTCGCTTTTCCGTATCACGCCGACCGATCGAATTCAGAAATATTCATCAAAGGCCTCTTACGAGCAACGTTTAATATCCGATGAGAACGGTAAAAATCGATCTATCCGAAGATATACGATACGTCGACGCTCGCGTCCGCGTACGTCGTGTAAGCGCTGAATCGACGAAGAATGATTTTAAATCGTATAAACTTTTATACTTTTATGTTGCGATGCGCGACAGCTTCCGACCCGAGGGAATCGAATGCCGTAACTTTTCTATCGGTGATCGAACGTAAACGAGTTTAAAAATTGTTTCACGCTTCTGAAATCATAGATGAGAAACGTTCGCTAAATTATTTTGCCGATCCGTCAACGAAAATTTGTATCGTCTGCGCAAAATATGGATAATCGTCGAAGCATCCACGCTTGCGCAACGTATCCGTTCTACGCAAACGATATTTTGAAAATGTATCCGACGCCGCATCGAAGTAGGACTGCCGAACAATTAACCGAGACGCTCGAAAGCGTTGCGTTCACCGCGAAAAAAAACAGGAGGATTTCCGTTCCATAGTCATCGAGCTATCGTACTTGTACGTCGAAAGAGAACACCGTACAACTTTTTCATCGTTCCCGCGGCGACCTAGCCTATAGTCGGTAGATCGTGGCTAACGAGAAAGTAACGACGATCGTGAGCATCGAACGCGCGGATAATAAAATAACCATTACATTCGTGACCGGGGCGTGTGCGGTGTCGCAACGCGTTCAGCCGGCCAGGCACCGACTTTTATGAAAAATTACATTTCTGTCCGCGAAGCTCGCGGCCAACGGAAATGACCGCGACGACGAAAACGATCCCCGTTCGAAACTGCTACCCCCCGCGCGATCCTGCTTGTACAGGCTGCGATCGTTTCCGTTGGAAAATTCCTGTTTCGCGTTTCGTTGTTTCTATAAAACGGCGCGTACCCTCGTGGCCGGATTCGTGGCTTTAGAATTCGTGCTTTTCGTGGCCAGCCAGCGATCCGAAAGAGATTTCCCGACTTCTAGGCGACCGAGCGAAAATTCCCCGACATAATTGCGTAACGTTCGCAGCGATCGAGATTTGCATCGAAACGCTCGCAAATGACTCGGCAATGTTCCCGTTCGAAAGAAAAATCAGCACCGGCCGCATTTCGTCGTCGCGATCGACGAAACGACAAACCATTGTTATCGCGCGAGACCGCCGCACGCCGACCTTTGTGCATCCTAGCTTCGCGTCCGACGCTTCGATAGGCCGGACGACGATTGTAAATTTAAAGAATGCACGAATTATGTACGAGTGCACGGTGCGTGACGCGAATGCCTTGTTCCCCGTTTCCGGACGAATTATCGCTGGCTTTATACGTGGACGTGCTTTCTCGGCTGCACCGTTAGAATCGACGCGACGATATGTTACGTAAATATTTATGAACCACCCCTTATCGTTGAAACAGTGTCGCGTGCGAAATGGACGATAGAAGAAAAACAGGAAACGGCACGGACGGGAACGGCTCGAACGCGGCCGTTCGTCCAGCGCATCCGTACGATACGACAGTGAACTACACGGATCGTTCGAAACGTTGCGACCGATATTCTTTCTCGATAGAAACCGATCGATCGAGAACAAAGTTGCCGGTTTCCGTCCCGGAACGAATAGAACTCTCGATCGTTTCCTATTCCACGTTACGACCGTAACGTAGGTATAAAAAGAAATAAATAGTAAAATTTACTTTATAAAAATTTTTGCAAAACAACTTCGATCGAAATAAAAGCTCGAATCGAGCGTTATCAAAGATTTTCAAGGAACGGTTTCTTAATTTTACGGTTCATTAATTTCGCATAATAATATAACCCTGTTTCGAATTCGTCGTTTTAACTCGTCGAACTTAACTTAACGTTCGCGCGACTTCATCTGCGAACTACAACGCTGTTAAGTGGTCGACGAGTGTGCCCGGTAGCGTCAACGTTCGCTAACCAAAGAACAGGATCGTTCGACAGGAAGTACTATCTTTATACACCGAATTTCAATCGGTCGGAACTCTCGACCGGCTGTTCGCGACCCGTATCCGGTCAACGTTCGATCGAACGATTCCGATGAGAACACGCGACGTCGCTCGACAACGCGCGAAAAAAATGAACCAAGTTCGCGTAACCTTACGAAAGTTCAAGACATTTCCAACGACCGAATTTACAAGCTGTCGATCGGCAGCCAACGTTTATCCAGTTCGGCGAGCGAGTTGAATTTTACGAGCCGAACGAACGATGGACGCTCGAATAGCCGCAGCTGATTCGACGAGCGATAATTTACACCAGTTCTCTCGATGTATCCGCGGTACGCGACCGTAGAAACGCGTGCAACAGACTTTGACCTCGAATCTCGGCAATTCCGCGGATAATGTCAGATCGCTGCCGTTCGGATCGAACAAAAGGGCACCCGCGCGATTCGAAAGAGCAGATATATCCGCGGAAACCGAATGAAACGCGATCGGGGCGATCGGCCAATTTTCTTCTCGCGTACGCCGTGTACGCGAGCTTCGTCGCTACCGTAAGAATACGGTATACCCGACAATGATTTCGGGGGTTGTCGGTCGCCGGGAATTAAATTACACGATTATCGCGGCAACGCGTTAGCTTATGGTATAATTCGATGCGTGACATCACGCCGATGACCGTCGACACGAGGCGCGTAAAAGCCTCGAGCGGACAAAGAGTTGGTCGTCTCTTTGGTACGTGGAAACTGGAAGATGAAAAGAAAAGTCGGAAGAAGATAGATATCGTTCTTCGCTCGTAAATTTCTACGTATGTACACCGTAACAAAAAGGATTAGAGTACGATAGTACGTTCGAAACTATTTAAGTGATCGAAGAAAGGAGCTTTCTATGCGATTTCCATTTTTCACGACCGATGCAGAAAATTGATGTTTTGCATAAAGATACGCAGTCTAATAACCGTAAAGCTAGGTCTCTGCTACGCCCCATTCGCGTTTCTGTTTTCTAGAGCACCGCGCGGTAGTTGCTGCTACTACTACCACTACCGCTACCACTGTTCCAACGGATGCTGTTGATTTTCATTAGCCCGATTAATCCATCCAACTGTGGCCATCCATTTTTGTAAAAGATTCAGCGAAAGTAAGCGCGTTACAACGGTCGCGTTGTACACTGGCAATTGCCCGTTATCCTTTCCGCGTTATCTCGTATTCGCGTAAATCGTACACAGAAGATTGCCGAATCGTTGTTGTTCGATCGTGCGCACCGAACGAACGGATTCGCGCGATTCGAAACCGAGGCACGGCGAGGATTTTTTCTCTTTCGCGCTCTCGGGACACGCCGCGATGCGGTCATCGTAAAATAATACGACCGATAACGTTTTCCCCCGATAACGATTCTTTTCGACGGAACGGAGCGCGATAAGCAGGCGCCCGATGGCGCACAGCGTTCGCAGCGGCGGACGGACTTTCCGTTGTCGCGTTCGATTCGATGCCGACCAGTTTCGCGGAAAGAAGGACCAATGTTCAAACCCAACTTTCCAAGTTCTCGAATTCAACCGCAAGCTGTAAGCTAACTTACTAATTAAAATATAAAGACGATTACGTTTCGTGGTATGGATCGGTACGCGTCGATCCCTCCCAAACATTCGTAATAATTCGAGTCGCCCCGTTTCCGTTTCGAGCGAGCGGATCGGACAGCGGAAAGCGTTAACAATGCGGCCATTCGATCGATCGACTCGACGCTATCGTGTATCGGACGCGTATAAATAGCGCCAACCGAGAGAGGGCCGTTATCTCGCGAAGTCTCGAACAAAAGTCCGCGATTTCGCTGAACTGTCCCGTTCGTGAAAGACCCGACTGTGGTCTCGCGCGACGCCGGTGAAAATACGAAGCGGATCTCGGCCACGAAAACCTAAACCTTTCCTGTACCGTTGCCAGTTTCGCGACGCGGTCGGAAACGAATTTCCCAGATTTCCAGGACCGCCGGCTGTAACTCGAGCGGCGAAAGTAAAACGCCCTCGAGGGCGTGAGAAAGTTTCTCCCCGAAAAATAACGTCGTCCCGGCTCGGCCCGGACCGACGGTACGCGCAGACGCGGACGCAGACCCGCGTTCGAGACTGTTCGAGCGATCGTAATTAAGTGCATAACGAGGCTTGTTTACACGGAGGAGCCCGGTCCTCGTAATCTCCAGAGCCGCTTAGTCTGCCGTTTTAATCGGACTCTTCTCGGAAAGGAATTTATGGCACGCCCATGGTGTACGATGGCACGACGTTGCATCTCGCCGTGCCCCGCGATGCCTCCGATGGAATCTTCGACGTTTGGTCACGATTGCCCGTAATAACCAGCAACCGTTTCGGATCGGAGAAACTCGCGAACGCGTGAAATATCCCGACGAACCATCTATTCGTCGCGACTGCGAAATTTATACCCGCTCGAAGACGGTGATCGTTTAGCTACGGAACCGATACGGAATCGGCGCGACGCTCGATTAAATTATGCGCACTCGACAGCTTATTCGTTGACACTCTGTCAACGACGAGGCATGTATTTGGAAAATCCGTTCGAAGATAACGAAGTCGGGGATGGAAGGCGCTGCTATCGTTCGAGAAGATACGTCTTGGAGGTTCTATGATTCGTATTCGATAAGACATTTTTTTACCGGTTAAATAAAAATCCATTGGGAATAATGTACAAAATAAAATGTCATTATTCGGTATCGTCGAATATTTCTATCCAGGTCTCATTTTTACACCTTCTTTCTACAAAAAATACCCGTTCGCATAAAAAATGCACCATTCGGTTGTTCCAATTGCTATCCGATCGTGGAGCGGAGAGTCGAGCCCGACGTACGAATAATTACGAAGATATATATCCGCGTAAACAAAGGTTGCGTCATTTTGTTGTTTAATCGATCAGCCTGTCGACAAAATTAAATTTCAGACGCGCGCTTATTACAATTACGTGTAATACAATCCGAAGGCTAAAGTTACGCGAAACGGCCATTTTAATAATAATTAAGAACACGGTTGGTTTCACGCGGTTAACGATGTAGAATTCCGTTACGGTTCTGCTATGAAACATCTTTCAAAATATCGATACCATTGTTGCCAACCTAGACGCATACCCGAAGATTGGTAATTATCTTTTGTAAACACCAGCTCGTACGTCGAATCGGTTCATATTTCGTACCGTGGTCGGCCGCTATCGAACGCGCCGTGCTTCGCCCGTGCTTTTTACGCCTTAATTTACGCTTTTACCCTAGCCGCTGCATCCGGCAACCTTTGCAGAAAATCCTAAATACGTAAACCGGTGCGTACAAATTGCGAATTAGCTGCAGAGGATAGATCCCGAACTCGTTTAAAATTCATTCTTGCACAAGCACGAGTCGATTCCGAGTCTAACGATAAATCGCGAACCTTTTGTTAAAACTCTTGCGAAGAGTCATCGTGAACCAGACAGGAGAGCGCGACCGTGTAACAAAGCTTAATTAATAATAAAACTGTGTCCGATCGTCTTCGTTCGACGCGCAAAGCTGCATTCGCAAGAACGATCGAGATTCGAGATTCCCGGCGTTCTCTCCGAAGTTTCGACCGCGGCGCGGCGTGTTCCGCAAGGCGGATAGAGACACGTTTACACGGGCGAGGGTGAAAATGTCAGGCATTTACCACGCGATCGTCGCGGGTTTCTCTCACCTTTGCGATCGCGTCTGCACAGCGCGGTTCCTCCGGCGAGACCGGTTCGCGCGTAATAAATATCTTTCCGTGACAATCCCATACGGTCGAAAACACACAGCATCCCCTCATCGATCGGTATCGTCGACGTTGGCGCGGTCACGGTTTAACAACGATGCTCCAATCGTCGGAATCCCTCTTCCCCGTCACCGATCCGATCGAGTACCGCGGGCCCGGTAGTCTTGAAAGGCTTAAAAAGAAGCCTGGGCGATTCGGTCGACCGAGTTGGACGATTCGATTTAAGCCGGCGCGACGATTCGTTCGTAGAAGATTGCTCCGTTTGGACGAAGCCGCGGGAGGAGGCGGGACGCACCCTGCATTTACGCGTCGAAATTCACCTGTTCTACGAGGGTTCGGCCTAGAAGCTGCTACGATATCCGAGAAACGGTCCGTGGTCTCACCTTTGTTGTCGCAGACGTCGCAAAGAACCATCTCCGGGTTGACGAACGAGCTCGCGTGTGCATCCGACCGCGTGGTCACGCCTGCACTGAGACACTTTATCGGAGGAACGCCGGTCGTCGGAAGACAACGCCGGGACGAAGAGGAAGACGACCCCCGGAGGAACGTCGCGTGCGTATCGATCGAGTTCGATAACGCGTAACCGGGCTGGTTCGAGAACCGCGTGTCCCCGAAGAGGAGTGGGATCGGAGGGTGGAAAAGTCGGAGAATGCGGCGAGGAAAGTTCGAACGTGCTGCGGTAGCGACGCGAAACTTGGCGAAGGAGGGATGAAAGATGTTGGAACACGAAAACCGTGGAGAAATTTCACAAAAACGATCGGACCGATATCGCGTCGATCAGTGTCGACGGTTTGACAGCTTGATTTGCACTGGAGAGCAACATCGGCCCATACGCCGGTCTCAACGGGGACACGATGGGTCTGCGAGCTGTTGGAGGGGCGAAGAGGATCCTGCGTTTCATTGTACGCACACCATGGGCCACCATGGAGGGGCAGAAAGGACGCCGGATCAATATTAGGGCGTAGACTCAAGGGCAAGGGCCGTCACCGCCTGTACACACGTGCACGCGACGCACCGTACGCGGCTCTCCGGCGGTAAGGAAAACCCGGGATATTTTTGGGCGCAACGTCACGGTGCATCGATGCGCCGATGCACCGATGCACCGATGCATCGATGGGATCATCGATCGCTCGTGGAATCCTTATCGAGGCGGTGCGCCATCGCGTTTCGAAATTATCTAAGACCTTCCGGTTACCGGAGGGCAATTTGTAATCTTCGCACGACCGGGCGGATGGTAATCTCTTCGGTTTTTATAACGCGTTCCGATCATCGACAGGCGGTTACGTTATTCGATAAAAATGTAGGTGCGTCGGCCTTCGCGTCGCGAGGACGTACGATATAACACGAAGTCGCCGACAGATCGAAACGAGTACCAAAGACCACGCTTTCGTACGGCAAAAGTTCCACCGTTTCGGAATTCATCGTACAAGATTATCTTAATTCCTATGTAATATATATCGAAACGTTTGCTTCGAATCCTGGGTACGTTGCATCCGTTGTCGCGTTAAACGGCGATAACGACGCGGAATCTATAGGTCGAGGCTAAAAGTGCATCGTAGGATTCCATAAAATTAAAAATAAATAGCAAAACAAAGAAACATGCCGATGTTTAAGGAAGCCGGCTCTCGCGGCCTTGACTTTCGCGCGTGCTGTTAAAGACGCGCTCTCTAATTCCTTACGAGGTTACCAATCATTAAAGATAGGGCATTTCTCGGAGCGAATATACGCTTTTGTATTTTAATCCGATCTAACGCGACAACCTTGAATTCGGTATTTATCGTTTAATGATTTTTGTTGTTGTTGTTAGAGTCGCTGTTTTTTCTGTTAAATTTGTAAATTTTCTGTTTCAAAATTAAATTATATATTATTAAATTCCGATTAAATTCTCGTTTCACGTACTCGCCGACCGTTTCTCATTCGTATCCACCGATTTTTCTTAGTTCACGCATGTATCGTACATTTATTTATGTATTATGCGTTTCGACCGTTATATTTAGCAAATGTTTTTCGTCGATAACTTCTCGATAAGAAACGAGCCGAAACCTCTCGACGGTTACTGGGAAAAGCGTTCTTAACGACACGCGCGAAAAAAGATGCCGATTCGAGGATTTGCTAAAACTTTGGAAACGAATACGGTTACGTAGCCGTTGCAAAATGCAACGGTCGAGACGAAGAATGTGGGAGGCGATCGAAATATTCCGCGGTACATCGGCATTTTACCATCGGCGTCGAGCATTCCGCGCGAGCGAAAAAAGGAACGAACCCGACGGCCGATTCGAACCCGGAGAAAACCTACGGAACGAAAACCGTGGAAAGCAGGCAATTTCTTTTCTCTTCGCGCGGTTCCAGGGGCATCGACATTTTATAAATATTTAACGCTCCTTGCGATCCTTGTAACCGTGACGCAAGATGAAACGTGCGCGAGACCCGTTCAACGATCGACGCAAAGGCCTTCGCGCAACAAATTTTTCTAAAATGCAGCCGCGCAAATCGAACGCGGGCAAAGGCGGCCCATGGCGTCGCGAGCCGCGACAAGACTCCAAAGGCCTTGTCGAAACGATCGCGCGTCGTTGGATTTTTAATAAACGCGACGCTCGTCTCGGTTCACGCGCGCACGTTTTCGTGGCTCGCAAAACTTTCCCCGTACGATATCCGTGAGAACGTCTGCTAGGTGTTCCCGAGTGTGCAACCATGTTCCTCGTAATGGGATGATCTATGGGGCGAAAATCTTACATGTTACCTTGCACGCGATTCGTGCAAACGCGAAGATGTTATCGCGTAAATCTTCTTCGTGACGATCTGTTACGGTTTAATAAAATGCGATAGTTCTCGCGTCTTTTCCAGTATTCGGGTCATCTCGTATCGGGTAATCGCGGTTGGGGGGGGGGGGGGGGGAATTCA